GAAGGTGTTAAGCCTCAAATCACGGTGACCTTGGCTCCGATACCACTTGAAAGGTCCTAATGGCTAGAGGGGGGTGAATAGCCTATTAAAAATTTCTACAACAATACTAAGACAAATGATTAGTCAATAAGATGGCGAAGCGAATTTTGCGCTAGCACTGTACTTGGGGTTGCAAGCCACCTACCCAATTCTATTTTCTATGATCTCTAGTATGTCACAACAAAGCTATGCCACTAAAATACACCTAGGTGATCAACCTAGTGAGAGTATTACAATTAAATGATACACAATCTAGTCTTAACTACCACTAGCTCTATCCAAGTGAATCTATAATGAAATACAAGAGAGTGGTAGAGAGGTATACCGCCGTTGTAAGTGACCAATGAGTGACTACCAATGAATACCAAGGATACAATCAAGACACAATGATTTTTCTTCCGAGGTTCACTTGCTTGCCAGCAAGCTAGTCCCCGTTGTGGCGATTCACTCACTTGGAGGTTCACGCGCTAATTGGCATCACACACCAAACCCTCAGTAGGGTGCCGCACAACCAACACAAGATGAGGATCACACAAGCCACGAGCAATTTACTAGAGTACCTTTTGGCTCTCCGTTGGGAAAAGGTCAAGAACCCCTCACAGTCACCACGATCGGAGTCAGAGACAATCACCAACCTCCACTCGATGATCCTCGCTTCTCCAAGCCATCTATGTGGTGGCAACCACCAAGAGTAACAAGCGAATCCCATAGCAAAACATGAACACCAAGTGCCTCTAGATGCAAACACTCAAGCAATGCGCTTGGATTCTCTCCCAATCTCACAAAGATGATGAATCAATGATGGAGATGAGTGGGAGGGCTTTGGCTAAGCTCACAAGGTTGCTATGTCAATGCAAATGGCCAAGAGGGTGATCTAAAGCTGGCCAAATGATATTTATAGACACCCCCAAATAATAGAGCCATTAGCTCAATTATTGGCCTGACTGCGGGATGACCGGACACACAGGTCGTGTGCACCGGACACGTTCGATGTGATGACCGAACGTGTCTGGTCGCTGCGTCTGGTCACAACCTGACCGCCACGTGTCCCTTTCAAATTGTTTAGCCATGCACAATAATACTACGTGATCGGACGCGCTGTTAGAAAATGACCGGACGCGGGAGACGCAGCGTCTGGTTGAGTCTAGAGAGCTCCCAGAGCTGCTCTAGACCGATCGGACGCGTCCGGTCACACTGGACCGGACATAGGAGACGCAACATTCAGTCGAGTCCATAGAGCTCCCAGAGCCGCTCTGGGCTGACTGGACGTGTCCGATCACACCAGACCGGATGCTCCCAGCATTTGATCAATTATAACGCTGAAACCCGAGACTTGCTGGTTCACACCGGACGTGTTCGGTGTGGCGACCGGTCGTGTCCGGTCGCAGCGTCCGGTTGCTGTCTGCAATCCTGCTTCAGGCTATATCACTTTGACCTGACGCTAAACAATAACTCGTCAGCGTCCGGTCACTCCATTGAGCCAGAGTCCGGTCACTTTCACTTAGTCACTCACCTCGGGTCCAAATATCGAACGCGTCTGGTAGCCACACCGGACGCGTCCGGTCACTCCTGTCTAACTAACCGAAGTCTGGATAAAATACCGGACCCGTCCGGTAGCCACACCGGACGCATCTGGTCACTCTGTGACCAGCGTGACTAACTCATTTTCAACTCTATCTTCTTTCACCCTTGCTCAAATGTGTCAACCACCAAGTGTATCACCTTGTGCACATGTGTTAGCATATTTTCACAAAAGTTTTCAAGGGTGTTAGCACTCCACTAGATCCTAAATGCATATGCAATGAGTTAGAGCATCTAGTGGCACTTTGATAACCGCATTTCAATACGAGTTTCACCCCTCTTAATCGTATGGCTATCGATCCTAAATGTGATCACACTCTCTAAGTGTCTCGATCACTAAACCGAAAAGCTCCTATCAATTTCACCTTTGCCTTAAGCTTTTTGTTTTTCTTTCTTCTTTTCCAAGTCCAAGCATTTGATCATCACTATGCCATCATCATCATCATGTCATGATCTTCATTTGCTTCATCACTTGGAGTAGTGCTACCTATCTCATAATCATCCTGTCAGGGCTTTCTTCCTCCCGTGTCTGCTTTGGACTCCACCAGAGGAGTCCGCTGCCGCACCGTGCTCCGCCGTTGTGGCATGACCCGCAAGTTCCATGTCCTCTTAAATAGCAGCCCTGCACCCGTGCCGCCCTCACCTAGCCCTAATCCAGCCGCAGCGTCATCCTAAGCCCTAGCGTCGCCATCCGGATCACGCCGAGAAGGAGTTCGACGCCGCCGTGTTGCCTAGCCGCTCCGTCGTCACCGAAAGCATCACTTCGAGCTTCACATTGAGTTCATGAATCCGTTGAGCCCCTTCTTACTCTTTTTCTCGCTCTGGTTTGCCTACATTGCGTCGCCGTCGTTCATAGAAGCTTCGCCATCGCTATTGCTCACCGCCAGCTACCTCCGTCCGCTCTTCGCCACCGTAGTTCGCCGTGGTGAGTTCGCTGTCGTCTCCTCTCTCTTCTCGAGTTTTCCCCGCGTTCGATGATGCTCGGAATGTCGAAATCGACAAACGCCGGCGAGCTCTTCGCCGTCGTCCATGGAGGTCCGCCGTGCCCGGCCCTGTTCCGGTGACCGCGCTCTCCCCCTCTCGATCTGATCTCCACCCTCAGTTTAAGATCCAACGACCCAGATTCAAAGATACCCCTTCGCCTGTCATATTTGCTAAAGAGCCCCTTAGTTTTATCTAAAAAGAACCCGCCGTCCCTGCAATTTTGTTAAAAAGCCCCTGCATTTCTTCGTTTTCATGCCGCAGTCCCTGGTTCAGATTAAAATCTGATTTTATTAATTTAAATTCTAAAATCGAGTTTCATCTATTTACAGTTTTGCCACTAATATTGTTTTAGCCATAAATATTCGTTTTAACTCCGATTTGATCCGTTCAAGTTGCATTAGGTTCGTAATTGCATAATATACATGTTCATACTATTGTTAAGTATGTTTTCAACTTTTAAAATTCAAGGTTAGATTTTATCTATTATTTTACTAAAGAAAATCTTGTTTAATTCATAACTTCTTCATTTTAGCTTCGATTTTCATGATCTTCGCGTCTGTGTATTCATAGCAAGACGTAGAATTGTTTTACAAACTTTTGATCTTGATTTTATGCTGATGGTGTACTGCTCTAATCTATAGTTTTTGTTTGCTATGGATGATTGCTTCTGGATGCTTGTATGTTGTTGTGATTATCGAGTATAGATGGTGAGCAATTCGTGGGTGATCAAGAGTACTACTTTGACGAGCAGGATCAACAGGAGCATTTTGTTCAAGGTAAGTATAGCATGGGATTATCCTTGTTTCCTATCAACCTTAATACATTTAATTCATGTTGCATGTGTCACCTTGATAGGGATTTCCTAAAATTGAACTTATACCTTGTTTCCTATGGGATATGCATTGGGTAGCTTTGCTAGTGCTCAATGAAACCATGATCTTGTAACTTGACTAATGGAATATGCAATAAACATTAAAACATGACTTTTTAGCAACATGGAAATAGGGGGCTGGAGTATTTAGCTACTTTCTAAATGCTTCAGATTCCTCTTCCAAAGGACTTATCTGTAACCGAACATCGTGGACTTACAGTACAGCTGTGAGGGCTACATGGCTCTGGCTTTAGCTCAGTATGAGGACCCTTTCTAGCTTGTTAGAGGTTACCTTTTATGACGTAAGAATGGCTTGCCGAATTGGGTATAGGACAGCCTCTACTCTTATGTGTATAGCCGTGATGGAATTGTGCCATTCGACAGGGGTTCCTATATTTGTTTACCGAGTGAATCTAATGACCATAACTTGTTAGACGAACCTTTGAAATGCTTCGTAGTGACCCTGCCTGCTCACCTTGGAAGTGTTTTGGAAGTAATTAACCCGGACATATGGTTATCACAACTCACAGCGAAAGTGTACAACCTGTGCAGAGTGTAAAACTAATATATCAGTCGTGCCCACGGTCACAAGCGGCCTTCGACCCTTATGGAATAGATGATTACTAAGAATTGTCCGTTTATGCTATTTATTATTCTTGTTTACATTGATCATGTGTTTTACTTTAGGATTGAAACAACTTGTTGCTATTCTTATGCTAAAATTGTGACAATTAAAAGCTGAATGCTGTTAAACCTGTGTCATGTCTTTTGAGCCTCATGAACCCCATATTACACTTGTTGAGTACGACACGTAATTACGCTTGTTTATTTTTATTATTTAGATAAAAATTCTGGATAGGTAACAGATAACTACGGTAATGATGACTTTTCTGAAGATTACTAGACATGTGGTTAACCAGTTGACGTCCCTATAATATAAAGTTTTCGCAAAAAATCTTTCTTTATTTTTCCGCAAGATTTATGTGAAGATTGCCTTATTATTCGTGATATAATAAACACTTATGATGATACTATTTAAAATTTGTCGACTTATGTGTGACTAATCTCTGAACGGACATAAGATTATACATCACATTTTATCCTTAAAATCGAGCGTGACATGAAACTACACGATCTTCATCAGTACTTCACACGTTCACTATTACCCAAGAGATTACCCTATCAATTCACCCTATAAGAATATACATATATTTGCAGCTGCCAGCAGAAAATGTAACTCAGTAATCAGAAAGTAATATACACATCTGAACGGACCTAGTTCTACTGTAATACAAGGAACGACGAAAACCAAATTCCTATTGAGACAACCCCTACAGTCACGACTGCTTGACTTAGTTCCAAGAACATGTTTGGTCTTTCATCGGGCAACGCCTTCCAATTTGTCCTCCTGCCAATATTTGTACGAATTGTCAGTAACTTGCAGCGGATGTTGAACTAGAAGCATGCACACATCAACCAAACTAACAATTAAAAGTTTTGAATAAGTACCCCAAGTCAGCTATGACTATGCTAATATTGTCTTGGGACCGTTGATCCTGTTGAGAATAAAAGGAAACATTAAAACAGCATGTTTTTTATTCTGGAATGAACCCAAAACTATACTTAAACTAGCTTCATGATACAAAAAGAAAAGAACAGAAAAGATGAATGTGGCAGGCATCAATACCAGAGCTTTCTGACCAAGTGCCTCACAGGCCAACTACACAAACCAAATGAGTAATAAGTGAAAATACAGAATCAGTTGCAGAAAGGAAAATAATTACTATTGTTTTTCTCGGCAGGATAAACTGAATACCTGGACATCACCATGTTGACGTAGTTGATCTCTGACAAAAGCTACAGCTTCAGAGCTACAAAAGCCAATCAGTTTACATGTCAGAACATCTAACTTTCAATAGTTAATTACAATGTTTTGAAAGGAAAACTGTACATAAATATGAAAAGTACTTGGATAGACCTTTTTATGTAATCCCAAAGACCATCAGTTGCTAATAGAACAAATTCAACATCTGGTCCAAGCTCTACCAGAGATACATCAGGTGACGAGATTATTAGATCATCTTTAAATTTTATTCTGCAGAAAAGAACTCCAGTGACATTAGAAGCATCATAGACCTTAATAAGCTCAACTTTTGGCAAGTGCAAACATAGCCTCATTGTGTAAAAGTTTTAAGCTATGCAATTGGAGTTTTTTTTTTTTCCATCAACTTTCACATTATGTGGCCACCACCTCAAAAACTGCCGACACCAAGAAGACATAAATATATGTTGGATAAATAGTTTACTTGATACAGAGCAGATATTAAAATGAGAACAAACTCCATGGTTCAGAGCCATATCAGCCCTCTACCCTGAAGAACATAAGATATTTATCATCTGATGATAATCTAATTTGTGGTGAGCATGAAGGAATGACTTTGATTACCATGGTTTAGAGAAAATGAACAGAAGTTGCAAATAAATTACTTTTCAGATAGCTTCAGGTAACATGTGTTTCAGCAAAAAGAACTCAGTTTCCTCAAACTAGCAATTTTTTGTGATGCCAGAAATATAGATTGGTGTAAATGTAATTTTCATGATTTATTTATTTGTCACTTGCAACTCCGCCTATGTTATCTCAACATAGCAGGTCTCAAGCTCTGGTAAAGGAGGAGGGTTGTGTTAGGCGTGGCGAGCCAACATTAAATCTAGCTATTCTAATGGGGATAAAACCCGAAATAAAACCGTTTGGGGCGTAACCCTCTTAGCGACGCGCCATATCGGAACCCGGGTATGGTGTTAAATGGGCAAGGGCCGGGTCGGCACCCCCTTGGTGACGCGCCGTGTCGCGATCTGGGCATGGTGTCAAGTGAGCAAGGATCGGGTCGTCGCTTCCTTAGTGGTGCGCTACATTGGCGCCCGGGTGTAGTGAAAAATGAGCAAGGGTCTTCACATCTGAGTCGACGGGTGCGAAGGGTAAGGAAGCTAGTCGAACCAACTAGGATCCGTTTAGGTAGTTGGAATGTAGGGTCGTTTACAGGTAAGTTAAGAGAATTAGTTGATACCACGACTAGGAGGCGTGTAAATATATTATGCTTTCAAGAGACTAAATGGAAGTGTCAGAAGACGAAGGAGGTGGACAATATATGTTTCAAGCTTTGGTACACAGGGACAGTCGCAAATAGAAATAGAGTAGAAGTTTTGATTGATAAGAGTCTCAAGAATAGTGTGGTGGGAGTGAGAAGACAAGGAGATAGGATTATCTTAGTCAAGCTTGTCGTTGGTGATATGGTCTTGAACGTAATTAGTGCGTATGCCCCCCAAGTAGGCCTCAACGATAGTGCTAAGAGACAGTTCTCGGAAGACTTAGATGGCCTGATTGGAGCTGTACCTAGTAGTGAGAAGCTTTTTATAAGAGGATGTCTTAATGGGCATGTAGGTAATACAAGCGCAGGTTTCGAGACAGTTCATGGAGGTTTTGGGTAGGCAGTAGGAATCAGGAGGGGGAGGAAGTTCTAGACTCCGCAGTAGCTTTTGACCTAATGATAGCCAACACTTTCTTTAGAAAGAGAGAATCTCATCTAGTGACCTTCAGTAGCGGACAACACTCTAGCCAAATTAACTTTGTCCTCGCAAGAAGAAAGGACAAACGAGCATGCATGGGTTGCAAGGTGATACCAGGGGAGTGTGTTGTTTCTCAACATAAGCTTTTGGTGGTAGACTTTCATTTCCAGGTGCGTGCCCGTAGGGATAAACAAGTTAAGATTAAAAGAACAAAGTGGTGGAAACTGAAAGGGAAGACGTCAGAGGTATTCAGGAAAAGGGTTATCAAAAAGGGCTCCTGGAAGGAAGAAGAGGACATAAACAACATGTGGGAGAAGATGGCAACCAACATTCGGAAGGTGGCCTCAGAGGTGTGTGGAGTAACCAAAAGAAGTGGAGGCGAGGCTAAAGATACTTGGTGGTGGAACGAGGAAGTCCAAAAAGCTATTAAGGAGAAGAAATAATGCTATAGACGCTTGTACCATGACAGGAGTATGGACAACATAGAGAAGTACAAGGTGGCAAAGAAGACTGCAAAGCGAGCTGTAAGTGTGGCAAAGGGTAGAGCGTACGAGGATCTTTACCAACATTTAAGTACGAAGGAAGGAGAGAATGATATTTATAGGATGGCTAGGGTTCGTGAGAGAAAGACAAGAGACTTCAACCAAGTTAAGTGCATTAAGGATGAAAGGGAGCATCTCTTGGTGAAGGAGAATGAGATCCGACATCAATGGCAAGAGTATTTTGACAAATTGTTCAATGGTGAGAATACGGACACAACCTTTCAGTTGGATGACTCTTTTGATGACACCAATAGGCGCTTTATGCGGAGAATCCAAGAATCTGAGGTCAGAGAGGCGTTGAAAAGGATGAAAGATGGTAAGACGATGGGACCGGATGGAATCCCAATCGAGGTGTGGAGATGCCTCGGGGACATAGCAATAGTATGGCTAACCAAGCTGTTCAACCATATTTTTCGATCGAACAAGATGCCTGACGAGTGGAGGAAAAGTATATTGGTACCGATCTACAAGAATAAATGGGATATTCAAAGTTATACTAATTATCGGGGAATTAAGATAATGAGCCATACTATAAAGTTATGGGAGAGAGTTATCGAGCATTGCTTGAGAGCAATAATGCGGGTCTCTATGAACCAATTTGGTTTCATGCCCGGAAGGTCAACCATGGAGGTCATTTTCTTAATAAGACAAGTTATGGAGCGGTATAGGGAGAAGAAGGACCTACACATAGTTTTTATTGACTTGGAGAAGGCTTATGATAAAATACCAATGAATATTATGTGGTGGGCTTTGGACAGACATAAAGTACCAACGAAGTACGTCGGGCTCATTAAGGACATATACAATAATGTTGTGACTAATATTCGAACAAGTGATTAAGACACGGATGACTTCCCGATTAGGATAGGACTACATCAAGGGTCAGTTTTGAGCCCTTATCTATTTGCCTTAGTGATGGATGAGGTCACAAGGGACATACAAGGGGACATCTCTTGGTGTATGCTTTTTGCGGACGATGTAGTGCTAGTTGATGAAAGCCGGACATGAGTGAATCAAAAACTGGAGTTATAGCGGGAGACTTTGGAGTCCAAAGGTTTTAGACTCAGTATAACTAAAACTGAGTATATGAGATATGACTTCGGTACTACTACTCGGGAGGAGAAAGATATTAGTTTGGAAGGTAAAAGTGGTGCCTAGAAAGGATATCTTTCGATATTTATGATCAATGCTACAGAGAGACGGGGATATTGATGAAGATGTTAAGCCATAGAATCAAAGCAGGGTGGATGAAATGGTGCCAAGCATCTGGTGTCTTATGTGACAAAAGGGTACCACAGAAGCTAAAAGACAACTTTTATAGAACGGCGATTAGACCTGCTATGTTGTATGGTGCAGAATGTTAGCTTACGAAAAGACGACATGTTCAACAGATAAGTGTTGCAGAAATACGTATGTTGCGTTGGATTTGCGATCATACAAGAAGGGATCGAGTTCGGAACGATGAAATACGTGATAGATTATGGGTAGCACCAATTGAAGAAAAGCTTATCCAACACCGGTTGAGATGGTTTGGACATGTCCAACGGAGACCTCCAGAGGCATCGGTGCATAGTGGAATCCTAAGCCAGGATAGTAACGTGAAGAGAGGCAGAGGAGGACCGAAGTTGACTTGGGTAGAGGCAATAAAAGGAGACTTGAAAGGATGAAATATACCCAAAGACTTAGCCTTACATATGAGTGCTTGGAAAACAGCTATTCATGTGCCTGAACCTTGATTGCTTATGCTGGATTTCAACTCTAGCCTACCCCCAACTTGTTTGGGACTTAAAGGCTTTGTTATTATTGTTGTTGTATTTATTTGTCACTTGCAATGATGCACTCGCTAAAACATAGTTTTATTAAACCAACCATGAATAATGCAATAACCTATTAACTTTTGAAACACAACATATGAACTTTGAGAGTCATTACATGCTACAGCTGCATGTGAACATATGAATTTTTAGGTGGGCATGTGTACAAATATTTATGGAATAAAAGTTCAAGCGCTTTACCGTGAGATGAACTTATCAGTCCACCTTCCTTCTTTAACTCCTTTCACCAGCATTCTGTACAAAACCATAAAGGAATCTTAAAGACTAAAGAAGCTACTGCTGATAAATAACGCAGTAAAAGGAGTACATAATGTGTGGACAAAGAGTTGAGTACAAGAGACAAACTCATTCTTTCGTGTCTTAAATCTTATGTCCCCAAAAGCACGAGATACAGATATGTCTCCACATATGCGCCCATCAACAATCTACAAGAAAAAAAAAACAATATATTTCAACTTTGTAAAAACAAGAGTCAGCTTCCCATATACATTGAAAATGAGCTGAAACATGAGGGGTAAGGAACATGTTCTTTATTGCATACGATTAGCAAAGAGTAAAGGGTAAGGTTTTGAACTTGACATGTCCAGTCACCAACTTTATGAAGCTATGAATACAGTAGTCTAGGGGCAATCTGGGAGAATGAGAAGAACTCTGGCAGAGAAAACACACCCATCCACCTGCTGCTCTGATCCTCTTGACCTCTTCAAGGGACGTTTTGTTGTTCCCATATGGTCGATGAGAGCTGGTCAAAGCTTCAGGTCTTCCACTGCGTGATATCACCTGCTAATCAAGATTCAGAACTACCTTATCATCATCACCAGAAAAGTTAGCTTGACATAGGCAACAAAGTCGGGGTCCTATTGTCACTTGCTAGGCTTGACAATAGGATGACACAACACACAGTTACACAAACACAAGACAGGTAATTAAAGAGAATTGTTGGTACCAAGCAAGAGTCCCCAATGTGCGAGACAACAAGGACATCGTTCCTGAGAAACATGGCAGTTGCCGTAGCACCAGAGTCGTTGTCCTTGTCCGCTTGCTCGAGCCTGGCGGGAAGCAACGACATAACATGTAAGAACAAGCAGCAAGGAATTTAAGACTGATGAGAAAGGCAAGAAAATTGGGAGATCGAATCCTGCAAACCAGTGTCCCTGACCAGGTGGAGAGCTTGGCGTCGACAGCGGCGAAGGCACGCTGGATGGAGGCTGTGATAGCGTCGAGATTCTTAGTGCTGAGCACCGCGCCGCCGTCCAACGCGGCTGCGCACTCCTTGTACAGCTCGTCCCTGAAACGCCACGAACGAGCAGCCGGGAACCGCGCTTCATTGAGGGGTAGGATTTTATTTATTTATTTATTTGAGAAAACAATAAATTTGGAAGGTGCCTGAGGAACTGGACGGCGGAGAAGCCGGCGTGTCCATCCAAGACGGCGGCGAAGGAGAAGCCGTCGAGGAGGGAGCCCGGGCGGAGCAAGACCTCATCCTCCATCTCGTCGCGAACGCCCTGCAGCTTGGCGCTGCCCCACTGGATGGCATCCAGCTCCGACGACGGGGGCCCCGCGGCCGCCACGCCGCCCGCCGCCGTCGCCTGGCACCTCGTGGCACGGCCAAAGCACGGGGCACCGGCCGCGGCGGCGAAGGTGAAGGTGGAGGGCGGCAGCCGCGGCACGCGCGGGCTCAGCAGCGCCATTTTGATTTGACCGCTAGCGACGCTGGAGTTGGGAGGGATAAGAGGCGAGCGGCACCGCACACGAAATTCTGCGTCTGAGGCCGAGGCTGTCCCGTGGGACTGGCACGTCACATCGTTCGCTGCTAATCACTCGCCCGCTCCTGGTCGTTATAGTCAGTCCACACCAGCGGGGAAATGGGATACCTTTTTAACGTCTGGTTCTGGTATGGTTCTCGTATAACGGTACAAGGGTTAATGGCTTATAAGCTAAAAAGTAATTAAAATTAGTTAATTTTTTAGCGAAGTGTAAAACTAGCTTTTAGCCAACTAGCGAGTCAACGACAACTAATTTAGACTAATTTGTAGCCCCAATTACTAACTACTCATGTATATCCAACAGACCCTATATTCAAGTAGTACACGTATCTAGATATCGGTCATCGGCTTCTGGTAGGATGTGGTGTTTTATTTTGTCCTAATAACTTAAACTTTCTGGGAATATAGAATCATGTAGAAAAATATATTAATATGTCAAGACATATTCTATGATGAATTTAATTAAACTAATTTGATGTTGGTGTATTTTTTATGAACTTGATCAGAGTTAGAAAAAATATAGCTTATGACAACTTAAATGTCTATGGTTGAATGTTGAAATGGAGAGAGAGTACACATTATATACTCGCTTTGTTCTAAATTATAGGACGTTTTGGCTTTATAGATTCATAGCTTAATCTAGAAAAACCAAAACATCTTATAATTTAGATTGGAGTGAGTATGTCTTAGCTTCTTGGTGCAATAAAAGTTTATAATAATTTATTTTCTTACAAATGATTGAGAAATTAAAAGTTGAGCGATTGATCAACATTCGTATAGTTTAACTTAGCTTCTTTGTTGGAAAAGTTGATCTTTTAAGATTTCTTAAGAGAATAGACCTGATTTAGTCGCCTATGACTGAAAAATGTTTTCAATTGGCTTTCATGATCCGATCCAGCAAGGAGAAACACAAAGCAATAGAACAAACCAGGGGACCCAATGAGGTTAATAGTTAGTTCTCCATTTTAAATTATAAGATATTTTGACTTTTCTAGATATATAGCGTTTGTTATGTACTTAGATATATATTATGTTTAGTTACATAATAAAATAATGAATCTAAAAACCAAAGCATCTTGTAACTTGGAATGAAGGAAGTATCTCATTGATACTTTTAGTAGTTTCAATTTAGAAGACTTTTAACCGCAGAGTTCTAGTCCATTCTCTTTGTCTTGGCTCAGTGGCTTCAATTTTGTTTGTTTTCGATTTCGGGCTTCTACTTCTTGGTGTCTTAGAATTCTAGCATGTATTGTAGGTCTTCAACATAACTTCTAATGTCTTGCTTGAGGTGTTGATCATCGGAATCATCCCTTTGCCTAAGTGCAAGTCCTCCTTGCATCCATTGAACTATACCTCATATAGTAGCAAACATTGTTAGTCCAAATAGTCATGTTGATCATCAAACATCAAAATCCAAACTTAATGGACCGTAGAGGGTCCATTTTCCTTATAGATTTTGATAAGGAACATCCTTGAAGGTGGCCCGATCTTCACAACAGTAGGTCACCAATCAAAGATAACTTGCTATGAACAGCGAGATAACTAGTTTTATACCTCTTAATCTAAAAAAACTAGTTTTATACCTAACAAAGGTTGGATGCGACCAAGTGACGAGGAGAGAGACACCGAAACCGCGAAGACTTTGACTCGATCTTCGAACGACCCCAGAACCACAGTCCAGAACTAATCCATACAAAATGGTGTAGCCGTACTGGAAGCCATAGATCACGAACTAGGGGAACCCAGAGGGATCTCCTCACAAGTCCAAGAAGAACAAGGAAGAACAAAGATTTGAGTAAGACACTCGGCAGCTCGGCTGCAATATCAGGGGTTTATCAATTCTTCAAAAAAGGTTTCTAATAGCTTAGAGGCAGGGGATATTTATACTAGGAACAACCCTCCTAGTTGGTGTAAAAACGAAATGGAGTTTCTAAAGATAGGCTATGTGAAAGGTCACCATGAGCCCGAAGTGGTCTCGCATGACTGTTGGCCTCTAGTGCAGTTTCCACTAATCTGACCATAACTCCTTATTGGGAAGTCGAAAAGATGAGTCATTTGTTGGGTGTGAAAGTAGACTCAAGAAGCTTTCTAGCTATGTGCAGCATGCATCATGAAACCATGTAGAATGGTACAGTTTTGCATGGGAAGTTGTACCAACATTCTGTCCCTAGAAAACTGTTGACCTTCTGAGTAGTCTTCACCAATATGAACGTATCTCAATATTGGGAAGTCCAAAATACTTGGAACTGGTTTCATTGGAAACTAGACTTGATAAGCTTTCCAAAATGTCCTCATGGATCTTTATAGCTTTTGAGAATCAAAAGTTATGGTTGTTTCTTTCTAGGATCTGATCGGCCATCCATATCACTTTTTCCTGGGTCCGGTCGTCTGTCCGTGTTACTTTTCCGAATGAGCCGTTTTGTAGCACCATGTCTTGATCCTTCAGCCTTGTGCCTTCCACATCTTCATGTGTAAACCTAAGCAACATCAAGATAAAACATTTAGGTAGTATAACATTCTTAGAAGTGTTAAAATTACAATCAGTTAGGAGTGAGTTCACCTCTTTTTGAAGTAGTTTTGCACTGCTACGTGTAATTGGCCCTTCATACACTTGCTTATGTGAAACTTGAGTAACCGGTGGCATGTCCTCATCATCCTCCCCCTCTTGAAAAGGAGTCGTCCTCGACTCTAACCCTTCTGATCCAAAGAATTATGCTAGACCATCGACTTGTAGTATTGTGATAACATCTTGATCTTCTTCTTCCATCACAGCAAGATGTTTGAATCTATAATCATATAAACCAAGTAATAGCCTTATAGGTGGAAACCTAAATGATCTGAAATTAAGTATAGCTTTCACCTTGCATCGATGCTTAGAACTATCGGTGAGTGTTGATGTCCTTGGCACGGTCTCATCACCTCCCTTTAAGAAAAGTCGTCCACGACTTTTGTTTATCCGAAAACAACCTAGACAAAACAGAGGGTGGATGTACATGACAATTCCAATAATATATTTTATTTTGTTCATTTGTTCCTTTATGATTCATATTGACATTATTTCTTTTTCTATGTAAGAAACATTCTCTCAACTTTGGTGAACCTGCAAATAGCTTCGAAGATGGGAGCACAAAAATTTCTTTCAAACCAATCCTTTGATTCATGTTATCATGTTTTATTTTCACAAGATCACATATATCAAAAGATAAGTATGAAATATTCTTGACATTCATACTTCACGGCCTGTCAAACCCAATAGTTCCAAACGATCATGAAAAATTTTTGGTGAATGAATAGAACATGTTTGCACAAGATTTCTTTCTTTTGATAGAACATATGAACAAGGGAACAACATTTTTGGTTCTTTATAGAAATCACTAAACAATCTTTTCATCTCAAGTTCAAACAAATATGGCTCACAAGAATTGTTGCAAAGTCTATTTATCTTCAAACCAACAAGCTTGTCACCAGTTATACAAATACCACAAACGTAGAATTTACTTGCAGCATGATGTCCAATCAAATTAAATGTAAACTTGTAACTATAGGTAGTATTCAAAGATTTCACGGATGATATTCGAAAAACATTCTTAAGTATATTATTGATCTCAACACATTTATCAAACATGGCATAGCCCACACATGAAGGATGAGATATTTTTGCAAAGAATTTGTCATGAGTGTTCATTTGCACATTATCAAATTTATTTGCATGAAAAGTATCAGATATATGAGTACAAAGTATCATGTATATGAACCATATCAAAGCATAGAAAAGATCATGTATGATTGAACATTGGTTATCAACTTTCAAAATTTCAGGACATGTATGAACTTGTGAATCTACCAAATCAACATAAACAATTTGTGTAGAGTCAATTCCATTTGAACCATGTGTTTCATCGCAATTGCTCATCATTTTATTTTGCAAACTCAGATCTAAATTATTTTCATTGCCTTTTAGACTTTGTGGTAGTCTAAGTATCATGTATGACGCTTTTGAACTCACACTTTCCTCGTCATGGTTCATATTTTGGGCAGCACACAATTGGTTTGGATGAATGGCTACCTCCTCACTTCTCTCAACAAGTATGGAGTTGTCATGAGCAGCCATCTCTTCCTTATTCTCAATACAAACCTGCACATTTGGAAAGACAACACTAGAAGTAGAGATGAGAGTGTTAGTTTCAAAAATATCCTCACATGACTTGCATTCTAACTCTCTATTTTTCTGTGGTATATCCCTCATACTCGCATTGTTGATACTCTCAATGTCATAGTGGGTGGAATCACACAACTCTCTTTTGTTTTCACTCTCTCTCAGTTTGGTTAAGTGACTCTCATTCTCACATAGGTTTTGTTGCACAATCACCTCAATGTCTTGGGAAGCAACATATTCATACATGTCATACTTCACATCTTTTTCTTCATGAACCTGCATCACACAAGGAACAAGACTAGAATAAGGTATTATCATGTTAGTAGTAAATAATTCCTCACATGATTCATCTTCTTTTTTGTTCAATTTTTGTGTATCTCTCTCACACAGAATTTTGTGGCTCTCCTTCTTACATATGGTGGAATCTCTTATCTTTTTATTTTGAACTCTCACACTCAATTTTGGTTGTTGGCACTCTTTCTCACATGGGTTTTGCTGTCCAGAGGACCTTCCTCATGTCTTTTGCTGAATTTTTCTTTTGGTGGACACAGAACAATCTTCATCACCAATAAGCACACGGGGACAAAAACTACGCCCACGATCACCTTCGCCATGCTATCCACTATGGCCAAAGAGACCACTATGGGAGTTGGTCAGGCTATGTTGTTGTGGAGCCCGACCTCCCGCCGTGGGAAGATGTTCATTGATCATTCTCTCCATGGCCTTCACTAGTGAGTTTTGTAGTTTGCGTAACTCAGCCCGCGAGACTGGTGGTTCTTTTTCTCTATGTCGACCACAACGAACACTTGAATTAGATCCTGCCATGTTAGCACTTATGCAAGAAAAGTGGTATAGGTAAATTTGTGGATTCACACAACCTCACCTCTTACTTACCAATGCTCTTTTCTGTTCTCAAGGACAGTAAGCGTGCTAGTGCAGCAGTTCAACAGATGTAATTGAGCGCAAGGATTACGAGTCGAACGTCCTGGTTTTAGATTTTGGTGGAGCTATAGGTGGCTATTCAAGGGAGGCTATGGTACTGCAAACCAAATGGTTTGATGTGTTCAAAAGATATGAAGTTGCTGCTATTGAGATTACCACCAACTTGAATATGTAAACTAAAATTTGCAGTTATACAACCGCAGCATAGCCCCTACATTTAAATCTTTTCACTTCTCTTTTTTTAATCTTTCTTTCTTCTTTCTTCTCCTTTTTTCTGAATCTTTTTTAACACTAATAGGGGTGCAAATAACAAATGAAAACAACATGATATATGTGAAGATGGTGACTAGCAACTTGATAAACACAATAACACAAAAGGTAGCAGTATCGCCAAAAGGCTATAGGATTTTTTTGTGGCTTTTTCAGTGGACTTTAGGATATGAACAAAAATAGTCACAAATAAAGGATAAATCAAAGGTAAATATATGGATGATGGTCAGACCTACGGTTGGTATTTTTAAACGCACATAGATAAATCCGCAAGCGTACGAATACCGTTGTAGCTTTCACCCCGAGAGTATTCCAAGGTATCGTATTTATCCACAGGGAAACAATGGTTAAAGAAGTTGATAGTTCACCATCATGTATCTACTAACTAGTATACCAACTGAACTAAAGTGGGGGTAGGTGTTGATGATGATAAGATTTATGAATAATAACACACATAGGAGAATTCCATGGTATATAAATGAGCAGTCTAGCTAAATTGAGATAACAACGGTTGAGTTCAAGGTTCCTAATACTTATCTATTACTTCGGTTCTATTCTAGTTTAGACTAGAGGGTATAACTAAAGCATGGGTATATATAGCGATCACACATAATAGCACTTTGGGACATCGGAACACTAGCCACAGAAAGGGATGAGAAAGGGACTAGGAAGCTCTGACTGTGGTCCTACAAACACCAACCCAAACATGGTGGACTACATCAGCCATCAGGGCTATCACCACCTGAGGCAACCACAACTATCCACAGGGTTAGGTGCAATCTCAGGTAACTCATAGTCTAGACACCGTATCTACACTATTAATTACTACTCTAATCACATATAATAACTAGAGCACTCGATGCGAGCGGAGATCCCATGTCAAGGTATAATAACTATACTAACCACACATATGAAAGCATAAAAGTAAATAGAGAAGATAATTGTATCTAAAGGATAAGTCTTGCAAAGGTAAGATACAATGATATACCAAACCTTCGAAGATTTCTCTAGAACATGAGCTTAACTTGACTCTCCATAACTCTCAACTTAACAAATCTAATTCTACATCTTGAAAGTGTTGTGGAGATATCTCTCTTGTTGTTGCCTCGATCCTGAATGAGATAGCCTCTAGGAGGGGGCCTGGGCGCATATAGGGGGAGGTAGAGTAGTGGTCAAGGAATCAAGGTGGAGTAGTGGCCAAGGACTCTAGGTGCAGTAAGGGCCAAGGAATCACCACGTCATCGATCCATGTCAACTCTCCCGGCCACCATTGGATAAACCGACCTAAAACCGCCTTAGAATCAACGGTGTAGATCGTAGGAAGGAGTACGAGGTGGCGGTAGGTGATGGGCCACCCCCATGGGCTGGGTGGCCTCCCTAGTGGGTCGGGCAGCCCACTATAGTGCCAGGTGGGCTCCTCCTTCTGGTGGCGACGCTTGGGCTCCGTCTTGAGTCGTCTTTCATAGGTTTCTTGGCTTGAATCACTTGTTGTCGTCGGTTTGCTTGTTTGGAGTGTATGATAGTGGTCCTGAGAGCTGTTTTTTGGATAAATCCTTCTGCATACAAATATTTACCAAAGCTCATGAAATTCATTAGTTTAAACCCCTATACCTATGTTTGGTGTTGGAATTAAATATAAATGCAGGTTATGTTGATGGTTTATAATTGATGTTAGTGACCGTCAACAAGCTCCCCCAAGCTTAACCTTTTCCAGTCCCTGAGCAAAGCTAAACTTAGCAATGGACCAGGAGTTGCTACAATCTTCCATGCCTCAAAAGTACACAGGCGTTAAATCAAGAATTCTCCTCTGGATTAGAATAAATTGATCTGACTTTCAAACTTACCCATATTACCTTCAACCATGGGGCTTCTTAGCCTTCACTTGGGTCTTGAGTAATTGAAAGATAGAACGATCAAGTTAAGCACTATGTCTCAAATTCTTTGTTCCACCATTGTTCTAGAGTTTTTATAAGTTTTCAAAATAAAACTCAGAGATTACATTGTATGACACTCTCAAGTCTCTCAATATATGTGGTATTTGTGGATCCTTACCAAGGCAATAAAGATGTTATGCCTTTTTCTCTTCCTACCACTAAGGCTTATGTGGAGTTCATAGGTAGGGAGAAAGCTAGAGCATACTTGCAATGCATATATTGTAAAGTCAAACAATGGATCCAAAGAGAGTTGAGTCATACAATCAAATCAAGATGTGCATGTGTGTGGATATATGTGGTGGATATATATGGTGGCTAACCTATAATTCTACTTTGCTCCTTGAAAACATATCTCTCTTTTGAAACTTGGAAACATTTGCTAGAGAACAGGGGCTATCTTATTCATCATCTTTTTTTTTGGGCAGGCATCTGAGTACCCATTGTTTTAAATATCTCAGACACTTTTGTGTCCATTTTTTGAACTTCTTTTTTTCCTTTTTTATGAATAACTTCTACATAGCCCTATGTCTCTTTTCTGCAACAAAACTTTCGAGAGGTAGCAACAAGAACTTGGAGCATTTATTTGGTGGATGGAAAACCTATCAAGCATGTTTTTTTGTTCACTCCTAGTGTAGGAGTAAAACATTTTTGGGTGGATCTAGATGGAAAGCATGTTTCTGCGCGTACCCCTAGTGTAGGAGTAGTGCATACGTGGGTGGTGTGTACGTGATCTTGATTTTAAGAGCATGACAAATCTCTCATAAGGGTCAACAAAGCTTGACAAAACTCAATGCAAAAGTAAACAACATATATGTGAAAGTTTTCCTGGCCTAAATAACATGTGTGGCTCTGGTGAGAATTCAAGCTTTGTCATACAGGAACTCATCATGTAGCATTTTTATGTTTTTAAAAGATAAATCTCTAGAACTTTGGTGTCACTTGGAACAAGATAAACAACAGCTCAGACCTTCTCATATCATATCTGTCAATTACCTAGACTTAGATCAAGCATATGCTACCCACGAGTTTCAAGTTCAGAGTAAATCCTTATATCAAAACAATCTTATCCAAAACTTGGAAGAATTCAAGGCTGAAAACTAGATACTTGAAAGGAATTACAACAGAGAAACTATTAATTATTTCCATTTTAAGAGATTATCTTCAGAGTCCCTTTTTATTTATTTAGCTCTTAAAAGAAATTTAAGCAAACTAGACACACTCTTTTTATTTTGTTTTCATTTTTAGATCACATATTATAACTATATATATTTCTATAAAGATAACTTTTTATTTTGTTTTAGTTACTCATCTTTCTTTTAGATATATAAAGCGAACTAAGAATAATAAAAATAATAAGGGAAAAGAGATACTTAGCTGGATACATGGGAGATGCTCCTCCCCCAAGCTAGATGTTGACGTGGTTGCTCAATGAGGTGGCCGAATGTGGAGGTGCTGGAACAGAGCCTCCAATTTTGATTTTGCTATTGATGTTGTTGCTGGAGGCTAGCCATCTCTTGTCCCATGCTTATCTGCCATTATGTGTGATTGTGTAACGTAACTTGTATGGCAGCATTTGTCTCTTTAATGGTTGTGAGTCTGTTGTCAAAGCGGTGGAAGGCCTCCTGAGAGTCATAATACCCTCGTCTAGAGAAAGACATGCGTCCTCCCTGATGCCCACTTGAGGTTGCTTCATGATCTTGCCCTTGGTAGCTGTGGAAGTGCATTGTACCTCAGTTTGCTCTTGAAGATGAGGATTCTTGAGGTGGCGCCTTTAGTAGTGGTGCTTCCAATGGTGATGCCACCTTCTTTTGTCAAACCTGTCTTGGTTTTAAATTTTATTTTAGTCTGACAAGTTCATCTTTCTTGACTTGTTCTCCCTCCTTGTTCAGACATTAGTAGTAGAAGCTGGCGACATCTTGTGTGCATCATTATTGCCGGTTCAAAACTTTCACTTATAGAATTTGGGGGATCAACTCCCCACACTTTGCTCGAAGTGTGTTCTGCTCATAAAGACAAGGTAGAGATCAAGTGCATGGGTTCTATTGATGGGAAGACACCAACAAAACCAAAACTTTATTTATTATTTTTTTTCTAGCCTAGGCACATCGAATCATGTTACAGTTGGCGTTATGTGCATTCATTCTTATGAAATGGGTGATAAGATCAGAAGGATGAGTATTAATGTGGTATTTGAATACATTTGTCAATAAGAGTGGAGTTGCTTAACCTATGGAAGGACTGTCTATAATGTATCAAACCTTACATGATTATGACTATCATCTTCCAAAGATAAGATATGCAATATTTTAGCTCATTTGATTAAGACTACAAGATTAAGAAAGTGGTGCTATGAATAAGCTTAATGAACAAGACATGTTGAGTTAATCAGGTTGGATCAAGCAAAGTTGTAACTCAAACATGTTTGTTTCTTCATTTATGTGAATACCAAGATCAAAGGGAAGCTTTCT